TGTATGTATGATGGTTCATTTAATAAATAAAAAATAGTGAAAAATTAAATTTAGTATTTTAACACATGTTTCTATAACTATAACCAGAATTATAAATGATTGTTAAAATACTTAATATAAGTTGTTGAAAGGAAAATGAAAAATTTTACAGACTGGTATTGATGCATTGACACCTAGAAGCTTGAAAAGGAAAGCTAAAAAATTAGATATATCATTAAAAACTACCAGAAAAGTTCTATATAACTACAACAAAAAAACTAAAAGATTAAAAGTCAAACTTGAAGTATATAGAAATGAAATTGAGATGTTGAAGAAATACAACGATGAACTTACCTCAACATTACTTTCATATTCAGGTATGCTAATTATTAAACTTTAAAAATAATTTTTAGCAACAAACCTTTATGTATGCCACTTTTTTTAATTTTTAATATTGAATTGGCATTTCAGATATTCCAACAAAACTTTTCATGAAACTGAACAAAACCTATACTGAAGAACAAAAGCGTTTTGCATTGACATTACATTTGTACGGTGGAAAAAGCTACCAGTTTTTGAAATGTAAAGGATTACATCTGCCACATAAACATACATTAGCACGGTAAGTTATTGTTTAATTTTATATAGATAATTACAAATTAAAAGTTTAAGTATTTAAATGTATTAAGGTGGTTAGAATCTGTAGATGGAGGACCAGGCCTCAATCGTTCTATGTTGAATTTCCTGAAGAAAAAACACGAAACAGATGCAAAACAATTTACACACTGTTCTTTGATGATAGATAGTATGTCAATTCGGAAACAACTGATATATTTAAAACATAAAGGTGTCTATTCCGGTTATGAACATTTTGGTGGAGACTACACATCCAATGAATTGGCAACACAGGCCCTGGTTTTAATGATAGTTGGTACGTCAGGTTCATGGAAGTTTCCCTTTGCTTACTTTTTGTTCAAAAGCATGTCAGCAACTACGCAACAAGTTCTTGTATTGAACGCACTTGAAGCTTTGGAAAAGATTGGATTGAAAGTATAATTCTTGTTAAAACTTTTTACAATTTCTGTTTTGTTTTTTAGATTTTTTAAAGTTATTTTATCAATGTTACCTGAATGTTATTATTGTTCAAATACTGGTAGTGACGCGGGTGATGGATGGCTTACGAACAAACATTGTTATGTGCATAAAACTTGGATGTGTCTTTGATTTGCCTACCTTTGTCAAACCATCTTTTAAATTACCATCAACTAATAGAGAAATCTATGTAATATTTGATGCCTGTAACATGTTGAAACTTGTCCGTAATACATGGGCTGATAAAAAAATTTTAGAATCAAATGGTGGTTTAATTAGATGGGAATACATATGCAAATTACATTCTGCACAGTACACGACTGGCTTCAAATTGGCTAACAAATTAACTGACCAACATGTTAATTATCATAATCAGAAAATAAAGGTACCATTTAGTATAATTCTTCCTTTCTGTACATATTCAACAATATCTTTTGAGTATGTTCATGTATTAAAAAAATAAATCACCATACAAATAGATTTTATAATTATAAAAATGACTAACATAATTTCAAGTTAAATTAGTGGCTTACATATTGAGTAATTCGGTGGCCAAAGCCTTAAGATGTTCAAGTAACTGTGAAGAATTTAGAGATTGTGGAGCAACTGTACAATTCCTGGAGAAAATGGATATATTGTTTGATATAATGATATAATGAATAGTAAGAACATTTACAGTAAATATTTCAGAAGTGGTATATCAATGACATCATTTAATGACATAGCATCAAACCTAATGTCACTGAAAGAGTATTTGTTATCACTAAAAACTGTCGATGGAAAATTTATATATCAAACCAATAGGTAAACATATATCTTACAGTGTTTTTGATGAAAATGTACTAACCAATTGTTATATTTTTAAAACTCAAGGAATACATGTGTTCTTGGAATGGTTGTCAACATAGAAACCATAATAAATTTAGCCACATCCTTGCTTCAAACACAAAAATATGTTCTGGCATACAAATTCAGCCAAGACCATCTTGAGTTATTTTTTAATTTCATTCGAAGTGTAGGTTAGAAAATGTTCAAAAGTGGTTATTTAACAAAAGTGACTTCAATTTTATATATTTAAATTTCATGTATTTAGGGAGAAGCAATGATAATCCAAATGTCCAGCAACTGCATTCTATTTTCAAAAAAGTGTACTATAGATGTGGTATTGTCCCTGGAAAAACAGGTTATACAAATATGTTCTATTTATACAGTTGCTTTAAATGAGGCTATACATATGTTTTATAATTTTCTAAGGGAATGTACAGGAACAAATGATTGTTGAATCAGAATTTAAAGTTCCAGAGGATCAATTTAAAGATATTTTTGAAGAGACGTATTTAGATTCACAAATAATGACATCTAATACCATGTCCACTGTCATTGAAAATCCATCTAACACCATGTCCACTATCATCGACAGTGCAGTAGCGTATATTGCTGGATGGGTTGTTAGAAAAGTTGCCAAAACAATCGATTGTAACAAGTGTAGATTTGCACTTATTGATATAAAAGGACAAGCTACCATGTTACACCAACAGCTTCTGATACTAAAAGACAATGGTGGTCTAGTTTTCCCATCCTGTGGTGTTGTTCAGGTCAGAAAATAATTTTTTTCCATGTTTATTTTTATTTGCATGCTGGAAAAATATTGATCTTTAATTTCTTCATTTTTATATAACATATTGCCTAATATATATTTTTTGACTAATTCATATTTGTCAATCAGATTTGCCGTGTCACTGAAAGACCTTTGAAAATGGTGACTGACTGGTCTAAAATGAATAGAACAATTGTTGTATCAAGTGTTTTGAGTGAGTTGGCAAATAAAGATCTATTAAACCTTAAAGATCATATCATTGAAAGTGCAGATAATATAAACAATCAATTTTTTTCTTTATTGTGATTAATAACAAAAACATATATAGATGTTCGCTCTTTTCATTTGGCCAAAAACAATAGTCAGTTGAAAATTCGTTCAAAATATCATAAACTAATTCACTTTAAGGGCCAGTGAAATTTTTTATTTATACTTACAGAAAATGATTTATTTATTTTTTATTTTAATTTCTATTAAACATCTGGTTTTTGTGACTTTTTTGCATTTCTAAATCTCTCTTTTTTAATATTTTTTTGTTAATTTTTAAACATTTAAATATTTCTTAATTGAAATCTGTGATTATTGTTATTAATTTTAAAACGCTTTTACTGAGAGTCATATTATTATATTATTATTATTATATTATATATATTACATCTATTCAACTTCACCTATTAATTGAACATTTTTCACAGCAACATTAAACAATTTCCAGCATTTCTTGTCATTTTTTAATCTTAATTTCTTTTTTATTTAACCCCTTTTTTAAAAACATAAATAGGTATGGGCATTTATTAATTTATAATTTATCAGCTATTATACAAAAGTTTCAATGCTTTCAGATAAATGTAAGACGTTATTTTTATTTTTAGGACCATTTATAGATATTGATAAGTTTAAATCTAAATATTGTCAAAAGAATATGGTGTATTATGTATTTTACAAATTTTTTATCTGCAAATTTAACAAACATTTATTTCATTAAAGATGTAAGTATTTTTGTAAAATGTTTTGAAAATAATTTTCTCAATAATAATTATTTTTTATTACGCTGAACTTCACTGCACCCCAACAGTATTTGAGCATAATAAATTAGCAATAATAATTTTATACATATACATATTTTTTATATTATGAAATATAATAATGTTTAATTACACTAAATAGTTAAGTGATTTTGATTAAATTCCATGTCGATCAGTTTCAACTAAGTTCATTATATTAATAGTATTTGATGCAGGGTCAGTAGTTTTTTTGTTTTTGCCATTTACGTTTTTTAAAATTTATGTCTTCATATATCACTTAGTCCATTTATTTTCTTTTTTTCAATGAACAACTTAACAATTTATTGGAACATATTGTGCCTGGATTTTTAGCACCAATACGTGTACATATAAAATAACGGTCAGCCTCTAGCTTCTAGCATCATCCAAAAGATGTTTCATTTTAGAAAAATTGAACAAAATGTATAAATGTCAATATTAAAATAATTATGAACATCCATTTATTTGCCAAAATCCTGAATCATAATGATTAATTCGTCATTAAATTCTGAATTAAACCTTTATTTTATAACATTTGTTCAGATTTTAAAAAAATTTATAATTTGATGACATTGAAGATAACTGCACTTGTTATTAATCCAGGTGGATGAATGTATGTATCAAAGTGTATGTGTAGTAGATTCATCCAAAAGATGTTTTATTTCCAGGACAATTGAGCAAAATGTATGAATGTCAAATATTGAAATAAATATGAACATCCTTACATTTTGCCATAAATTTTCCGGAATCAAAATCTAAAATCATTTTATTTTCAACAAACAACCTCTATTTAATAACTAAGTCGGTAGAGACGAAAAAAGCGACTTATTTAAATGTTATGATATAAAAAAACGAAAACTCCGTGTAGGCGATTAAATTTAAATTTTAAAACAGTAAAACGAAATGTCAACTACAATGAAGAAATGTTTACGCTCAAATTATGTTCTCTATTCCATAGAACTAAAAAAAATTATTAGCCGGGAATTAATTCTTGTGCCATATCCATGGTCAACGTTTTTAATTTCAGTTTATCTGATAAATATTTTGGAGCCAGACCATTTTGTGATTTAAAAACTCTGACAGAGATTTTAAAAACAATTGTTTTATTTATGGGCAACCAATGCAAATCATTCAGGATCGGTGTGGCACATCCAGCTACAATCCAAGCAGTACGGTTTTGAATCGATTGCAGAATTTTGATAGATCTGGCCGGGAGTCCATAAAATAAACTATTGCAATAATCGACATGCGAGTGCACCAACGCATGCACCAGAGTCTGCATTGCGTCTTTATCAAGTGATTTTCAAATTTGTTTCATTCTTCTAATCTGTGCCAGGCATGATATAGAGATCATTTTAAAATGAGATTTCATTGTTAGGTTTGAATCAATTATAAAACCTAGGTTTGACACTGCTTTACAGAAATCTATTTTTTTATCATTTATAACAACTGAATTTATACCCAAGTCTGCCAACTACTGCCAGGTACCAATAGGATGAAATTTTGTTTTACCATGGCTAAGCTTCAATTCATTTCTCGACGTCCACAGATTAACCTCCGTCATACATCCAATGAATCTCGTAATCTCGTACTTAAACAACTTCGGTTTACCTGATAACTTAATTTGAATGTCGTCTGCCTATGCATGGCTTTTAAAATCATAAGAATCAATTAACTTCCACTCGTCAGATGTATAAAGCAGAAACAATAAAGGACCCTAAACAGATCCCTGTGGCACACCAGAGAAAAACACACTGACGTAGGACAAACTCCCGTTGAACGAAACCAGCTGTGTTTGGCCAATCAGGTAGCTTCTAAACCAATTTATTATCTCCCCAGATATTCCAAAACTTTGATGCAGCCTGAGCAGTAACATTTCATGATTGACACAATCGAAAGCCAAGCTCATGTACAAAAATGCCAACAAGGAAATGTTTTGAGCATCCATCTCAGCATAAACCCTAGAGAGAACATGTAGCAGCGCAGTTTCAGTGGAGTGAAATTGTCTAAAACCGGATTGATGTACAGGCATGAGATTATTATCATTCAGATAAGCAAGCAATTGTCTAAACACAATTCTTTCAATAGGTTTTGATATAAATGACAGATTACTGATTGGCTGATAATTATTGACATCATTTGGATCTGTATCACTTTTTTTCAACAACGACACAACAATTGCATGTCTACAACGTGTGAGGAAGCAACCTACCCTCATGCACAAGTTTATCAAACTGGTGATAAATAGACAGAACAAATCAAAATGTTTTTTAAATAAACGCGTTGGTGAAATATCTAGCTGACAGGATTTTTTAGGTGAAAGAAGCACTTCTTTCCTGACATCAGCCTCAGACACCGCCAAAAAATTCGAAAACAACTGCTGACATCCATGATCATCACTGTTTAGACAAGACTGATTTTCAGTGACAATTCCCTGTTTTATCATTTTAATTTTTTCTTTAAAAAAAAGTCATGAACTGGCCAGCATTGAGATCATTGAACTTGCGTTTAGTGCCTTCACAGTGACTGTTTAGAAAAATTTCGTTAACAACCCTCCACAAGCTTTTTGGAATTTTACTGTTTTCATTGTTAACTTTCTTACGTTTCTTTGAATAAATTTCAGATTTTCTTTAATCCATTCATTTTTATCAGACAATTTACGACTATTTCTAAAAATCTTTTTTTCTTTCTAGATTTTTGTTTTGAAGCCTTGCAATCATCATCAAACCACGGTACAACATGATGGTGCCCAGGCAGCACCAGTACAAGAGGAACAACCCTATCAACAATTCTCTTTACCTCGTCACTGAATAAACCAAATTCTGCATTTACATCATCAGTTTTACACGGTTTAGACATGATATATATATATAAAACTTATATTCCGTCCGTGATTTGGCTGACGGCCGTTTCGGCTAGTGCCATCGTCAGAGCTTAAAATTTCATGTATTAATTATTTAATTTAAATATTGTATTGAGTTATATGAAATGTTAAATCAATAAAATCAATTAAAAGTTATTGATAAATGTAGCCCTAAAATAAAT